ATTTCCAACTGCATAATTTGAAATCGAAAATTAAAGTAAAAGCAAAACCAATTCTGTTGCATTAATCATACTTATATTGAAGTGACTACTTTACGTTATTTTCGACGATAAATAAATTCTCCTGAAAATGTCACTTACCTGATTCATCCACTAAGCTTTTCATATACTGTCCACAGAATTTACTTGCATAGTTTCTTAATTAAGTTTTCAACTGAGCTTAAAAATTATTGTGATTTATTTATTTTTCGAATACATGTACTTTTTCAATAATTGGCTCAAAAACACACGCGTTAACTAAAAATTAATCAGAAGTTCGCGCGCGATAAATAAAATTTAAATTCCAGGGCTCGAAAAAACTCAGAAATTTAAGACCAGTAAGTAATGTGTTTTTTTTATAAGTTCATTGCTGAAAAGCCCCTTTCAACCGCTGCAGTACTACCAGACAGAGAAAACATCAATCCCACCATGCGCAGCATGTTGCTGTATTTCGAGATTAGAGGGTCATTTTAGAAGTGAGGCGCTAGACTCTTGTAAGATAACAAAAATTGAAGATGTTATGTCACGAAATATTATGTCACGAACATTAACGGGAAAATGGCAGTCCGCGCGGACGCTGGATTCGAGAAATTTGTCGTCCGCGGGGAATTTTTGACCGCCGAGGACGGGCGGACGGGTTCGAGCAATGTTAAATTCATTAAAATATCTGCCACACTATTAAGTTGAGTGACAATGTTTCGGTAAACATTTGACTCCTAGGATATATTAATGTGTCAAGCAATCAAACACATTAATGTGTCAAGCATTTTACTTTATTTCAATTTTGATTTAAATCTACTGTAATATATGAAGTTACAGCATAGGTATTTTATGTAATTGTAGTGAACTAAAGTATAAATGTTGAAACAAATTGATTTTTTTTATTGTCTACCAAGGCTTCATTTGTCCTTTTGACCTCTTACATAACTAACTAGACTAATTTATATGTACTGATGACCAAATTCTTTTAAATCTAATTTACAAATCCTTTATACCCCATCCTAGCTACCACAGGTACATTAATTTTCTGGAACTGTGGAAATTCCGCAGATGTTGAACAGTATGCATGAAGTAGTAGTACTATTTTTTTTTAAAAGTTTACAACTTCTTTTTAGGGCTGTCAGAAGATGAACTCGTGGCTCAATGCATTCTATTTTATTTTGTTGGATACGAAACTACTGCTTCAACGATCGCTTACATGGCGTATGCATTGGCAACAAACCAACAATGGCAAGATAAATTAATTGCTGAAGTGGATGAAGCGTACAAGAAGCACGTGAGTACATCTTAAAACAATGCCAAGTGTGGGAAAAATGTTTTTTTTTTGTCAGAAGATGCGAAGTGTTAATCTGTATCATAAAGTTATGTATCATAAAGTATTAATCTGTATCATATCGTGTGAATTATAAATAAGAGAGTGTTCCCAAATGTCCCCCACAGTGATAACAAACTACTCATAAAAGCTGTTTGAAATTTTTCTGATTTCACAACCTTTTCAATTTTGATTATTTTCATTTAGCATGCATCGAACTTCTATAGATACTAGAAGTTTCTATGCCCTTTCGGTGATCATGAAAAATTTAATAATAATTCTTTAAAAAAGAAAGGAATACATTTTACAGTATAGATTTTGCCGCTAATTCAAAAATCTGATGGATCTCTGGGTCGTCTGGTAAAGAGATATACTTGACCTTTATGCTGCTTAAGAAACAGAGGTTGCTTTGAAACGGTGGATGTTTAGAAATTAATAGTCTTACATTTTTAGTGGTTTGCAATATTTTTGTTATAAGTGTTACTAAACTGAGTGCACTGTGTAGGAAAGGGAGGATTAGCTCTTTAATCAGTCCCAGTAATATGAGCTTTTATTTCAACTGTGCATGAAACCTTCAAAATCACAAAAACACTCTTAATATTATCTGACCGCAAAGAATTAATCCATTTTTGTTATTAATTTAAGTATAGTTTTGTTTCAACATCATGGCCTTTACTTCTACTAAAAGGAAGCAAGTTATGATATCTGAGAGAGAAAATGATAACATGCTGAATAGGGATATAGATTTACGAAGTTTGAAATAGAATAATAATAAAGGAAATTGTATTTAAAAAAATCAGCTAAAGCTTCAGACTAGATTCCATTTGTACAAAGGGTTTAAACAAAAAAAGAGCTAAAAATTATTTAGCACATTAAGACAAATTAATTTTAAAATAATATATATTTATACTTACTCGAAAGAATAGGCAATTATTACGAAGTTATATTTAATTAAAAAATATCAATTTTCGGAGTTTATTATGAAAAATCAATCAAATACCTACGTTAATAATCCATAACCTATACCTGAATAGTTCGATTAACCGATGAGAGTGCTGTCTCAATTATTTCGGATTACTGAGGTCTTGCTGTTTAAGAATGGCGGAAAAGAAGCTTTTCATTGTTTTATAATGGGCCATTAAACAAAAAATTAAATTTTTAGGTTCTACGTTTCCAGGGTGAAGTTGGTTACGATGCAGTGAGAGACATGAAACTTATGGACGCGGTCGTATCAGAAACTTTGAGAATGTATCCACCTGGCTTAATGTGAGTACTTTTTCTTTTTTTAATTTTTTAGTTCACATCGCATTATACTTTAGGACCTGGATTTTTTTAGAGCCTCGATTGTTAAATTGTTTTACAAAAAAATAAAGAATCTATGATACTTATTGTTATAATTATTTATATTATAAAAGCAAGCTATTCACAACTCCACCACATTCAATTAGAAAAATTAATTTAAGAATCGAAAATATTTTTGTACTATACTATTAATATATTATGGGGATATTAGAGATTTTGAATTTTGTAAATCTGGGTATCTTATATCACCACAATATATCAATGTCTACATTATCTCTAATATTTAGATATCCCGAGCTGTATTCTAGATTGATCGATGTATAATTCTAGACATTAGAGGTCTACTTAACGCGTTCACGCCGGATGTTGCGCCTGAAAGCGGAAGAAAAGAGAAAATACTGGTAGAAGAACTATTTCAATATTAGATAATATTCGGGAGGAGTTCATCTATTCTCAACAATAACAATTCACTGTATGAAAATTTTCAACGGCAAAGAAGCAATTCAATATAAAAATTGCATCCGTTAAAAACAATTGGTAGTTGTGGATTTTAATTATTCCAGGGAAAAAAAACTAAAAAATAAAATTTATTAGTTACCATTTTTAACTCCGGTGCGCCGCCCGATGAGACAATCTAGCATGACCCACCGGTGGGTCACCCCGGCGTGAAAGTGTTAAACGCGAGTATTTTTCTCTTTTTTAATTTTCCTGTCTTTATAGCGTGTTTCTTTGGGCCTGGATTGCTTCGCGAAACAGATTAATACACCTAGGAAACGTTGTTATTCTTATTTATACTGTAAAATTAAGCAAATCTCATATCATGTCCGGTCCATGATATTAAATGACTGAAAATAACAAACTTCTTCTTTAGTTATGCTAGCTGGGCACCTGAGCCGCGAAGCAGCCCCTATCCCATCCACTGTGAGTTATTTAGAATTGTGTGAGTTCTTTGTGGTCAGCAGACAGTGTGGTAGCTATGACGGGGAGTCACAAGCACTTTGCTTGAATAAATAGAAATAAAGAAAATAAAACAAAGCAACTTGCTTTAAACTATGTGTGGCTATAGAACTGGATGCAGGTTGATGTTCTACGTGGGGAAACGCTTGATAGATCTTTCAATATTGTTGTTGTTGAATCTGATGCTATAGGTGGATCTGTGAGTTGAGGCTCTTGTTTATTTTGATGATTGTGATATTAGGCGTCGGATGTAAAGTGAGCGGCTATTAGTCTGATTTTTTTTAAGTAGTTATCAAAATTGAATATTTGGTTGAAGTTAGCTGTATTGCATTTTTTGGCCATTTAATTTGTGAATATATTGTGATACGGTAGGGATCTTGAGGTCTTTATGAATATTTGTATTTCTGATGAACTATCTTGCACAGGTGATTTTTCTTAGTATCTTGTTCTGGCATCGGTTGAGCTTTTTCATGAGGAATTCTGGTATGGTTGTCCATGCAGGTGAGGCATACGAGAGAATTGGTCTAATCATCGAAGTATATATCAGTTTTCTTAGTTTTAATGATGCGCTCTGGTTGTAGATGAGTGGTTGGATTATTTTTGTTGCTGTATTTGCTTTATCTATTATATTATGATGTGTTAGATTTGAAGTGAAAGCAAAAGATAAGTCAGTCGATTTAGTCATGCACAAACTTAAGCTATGACTTTTAAATTTTTATCACCCTGATTCTTATTCTGTATGAATACATTCATGACTCGCCCGCTCCAAAGAGGTAAAGTGTATAAATAATTATAATTGGACCTGAAGGTTGAGCTCAGTGCGTTTCAATAGCTAAAGAGAGCTATTAAAAATTTAAAAAAAATATATATAATAATTTCAATGCTGAATAACTGCAAATTTGAAAAGGGCACTGATGTTTCATGCTGTATCTCCTAACCATTAATTATTAAAATGCTAAATATAATATTTTTCATTTATTCTGACTTAAAAATTTACTATGAAAAAAGTCATGAAAAAAACATTTATTATGAAAAAAGTATGAAAAATATAATTAATAAAAGCTCCAAGAGATGACTGAAAAATTATCATTAATTATTAGAAATAAATCTAGGTTTTTTTCATGTAAATTTTATCTCTCTGGAAACAAACTAGGAAGGAAATGGTTAGGTATCTGTAATTTTTTTGTGAGGTACCGTTTTGCAAGAATTAGTAATCTCTCTCCATCCTGGACAGCGAAAGTGCAATTAGGTTAAGCTTATTGTTTGATTTCTCCTGCTTTTTAGAAACGCACCTCAAGATATTCAGGTATGTTATACTTCATAACCCATTCAGACGTGGCTTGCAGCATACCGGGCATCAATTTATATTAACTATATTAATAACCATCATTTTATTATAACCATCAATCCCATAATTTTTATTTCGTTTGATGATAATGACTCTATTTCAGTTAAATATTGCTATAAGCCATGTTCACACTGAAGGCGATATCTTGAAGCCAAGTGAATATTTTAATGAGTGAAAATTATTGAAATTGATAACATATTTTTGTTGTTTCAGTTATTGTAAATATAGTTCATGAAATCAAAATTAAATAGTTAACCATAAAATTTACAAACACTTTCAATTAAAAAAAAATATTTTAAAAACACTAGTTTAAGCGTGAAAAATTGGTTCAGAGTGCGTTCATACTTTTCAAACCGTTTGGTTTCCCAATCAAAAACTTTTAAAATTTGAAATGAAGTTAATTTAATCTTTCTGTTTTATTTGTTTTATTTAATTATCCTTCTTTTTCAGGACAGCACGAATAACGACATCAGATTACAAGTTAGGTGATACAGGTATAGTTTTAACAAAAGGCATACCTGTGCTTATTCCACTGTAAGCAATGCATTACGATGCCGAGTTTTTTCCTGAGCCTGAAACTTTTAATCCCGAAAGGTATGTTTTATTTTAGATGTGAAATTTGTGATGATTTTCTTTTTGAAATAAGCAGTTAGAGTTAAAAATAGTCTAAACATTGTTCTTCTGCAAACATGAAAGATAAGACAATAGTTGATTGAAATATTTTAATTGTTATAAAAAAAGGAACATATTAAACGCAGACGAATTTAAAATGAAGTAAGTTGCTTCTTTGCAGGCTGAAAGCAAGAATAAATCGATGTTCTAAGGCAACAGGATTTAATACCCTTACTCCTCATTTACACAAGGCCTGACATCAGGTTCGTGACGTCACAAGAGGAACAAAAATCTCCGATTATCGTAGCCTTCTTTCAGACAAGCACTGACGGGCGAAGAAAACTTCAAATCAGGCCTGAATTCAGGCCCGGGATAATTGAATCTATGCCACACGTGCTTACTTATCGCCTGTCTTTTCAAGGTCCTGCTTAACATCAGGAATGATCTAAATTTGACCCACCTTATTTCAGGCTTGTAGCGTCAGCTTTTTCTCAGCCCTCGTGAAAAGCAGCAACCCTTTGAAAATTCTGGTAAATGTGTGAGTTCAACAACCAGGGAAATGTTGTATATAATGCAAGAAGAACAGAATAAGTAAGGTATTTCCTCAAACTGATTTTTTTATTCCTTTTCCTGCATAAAAAAATATTTTAAAAAAATAGTTCAACTGTAACTTTATTCTTTTTTTACCTGTTGGTCCCCCACGGCATTAAAATTACTCAAAGAAGTTCATGAAAGACATGGGTATAAGAAATTTTAAAACACTTCTTATTTATCTTTGTCTTAGAATATTGTGATATGCTAGAACTTCTGTTTTACGGTTATGGAAGTATGACGTCATTAAATACTTAAAATCATAAAAAAGGTATCCTAGTTTTTTAGAAGTTTTGATTTAACTTTATTATATATCGATATAATTTTCAGATCTTTAAGTGTGCGTTTGAATTATTTTGAGAAGTGTTGGACTAAAGCAGATCGAAGAATGAAATCGTAGAATAACTATAGTTTGTCTAAGCTAAGAACTCCTCGCGCCACAAATTCTGAGACTGTCTGGTGCTATGGAAACAAGAATGTCTCATTTTAGGGAGGGTAGCTTCGCACTAGGACTGACACAATAGACCGAAGAAAGAGATTCTCTCGCCAATCCGAGCGGAAACCACTCCAAAACTGTGACCCCGCACCCCAAATTGAAATAGTCATACCTCGCTACCATAGTCACCGCCGCAGGTCCAGACGAATGTCTGGGGAAGTTGCTATTTTAGACAAACTATACAGTTCCATTTTTTACTAATACCCATGGCACTTTTGACTATATTTTTTCTGCAATTTGATAGAAATTAATTAAAACTAGGTGCAGCCTGGAGTTATGTTGATGTAGTGATGAATTAAAGATATTGTAGTAGATTCTGAATTGTAGATATTGTAGTTTATTTCTGTTTATAATCGATATAGTTTTTTTTAAGAAGAAAAAAAGAAGCATTCGAATATATATTAATGTAACCTATTTCACTCAGCATATTATATGAAAACTGGAACTATTTAAAAGTTTCGGTGGGCAATAGAACTTTAAACGAAATTTACTCACCCAATAACCAACAAGTATTTCCACAAAACAAAACAAAATGGCATCCTCGTAATTTTAAAATATTTCGGAAATTCCAAAACCAAAAAAAATTAGTTTAAATCAGTTTTGTCTGGCTTATTCTAGCTCTAAATCTTCTAGAGAGGTAACAAGTCAAGATTCGAAACGAGTTAATACAGTAAAAAAAGGAAATTTGTTTCATAAAAGTGTTAAGTTTCTTTGATAATAGGAAAGATTAAAATTGTGGTAAAAAACTACTTGGTTTTTACTCTTTTTGGAAAGAAAGATCATTCGTTATTAGCGGAATTATAATCGATCCCAACGATGTACCGATTGTTTAAAAACTCAACCTATAGAGTCAGAGGGGTAAAATGCATCAAGAAGACGGGAACTTGTTTCAGAATTTTGAGTCCTAAACCAGATTATGAAATTGCGAAAAACTTATACAAATTTCAACGTCACTCTGGAAAACAACTGCAAGAAATATCAAGACTTGCTAACAATAAAAATATTTGTTTGGTTAATTATTACAAAAGTGGCTCCAAGCCCAATGATGTCACGTGATACTCTGTATGTTCTAGTGCCGTATTTAGCCGGCATCCACGCGATGCTATGTTTCAACGAGTGGAGTATTTAAATTTAGTCAGCCTATACGTGATGCTCATGATATGTACAAGCGCCGTATTTTACGGTATTCACGAGGTGCCCTACGTGTACGAGAGCCGTATTTAAATGTCCCTGCCATTGGCAACTTTTGGCTATTTAGAGCGTACTCATTCCTATGAGGTGAAACGGGTTTGAATCCCAGTGATGGCAAATCGACAGGAATTCAGAACCCTGCGCTCACCGACAACAGTGCTGCAGTAAAATATCCTCAATGATAGACGGATCATGGGTCTGAGTCCCCTTGCCTTCAGGCTGACATTGGGAGGTTTTCGTGGTTTTCCCACCATGCAACTCAAATGCCTGTTATTTCCATCAAAACGTCCTCCACGAAGGCCAATGTTCCCCAATACTTGATCCAGGAGTTCCCTTCTCCTTTGGATTAGGTTCAAAATTAAAAGGCTACGGAGAAGAACATTAGTAGTCTTAAACTCAAAAATTGGGTCAGCGGTTCATCGACGGTTATAGAATAATATATATTATTAGCTAATATTGGCTGTATTTACTGCCATTATCTGGTATTCCATTGATATATACTGAGTTAATACCGTTTAAAGTATATCTTGAATAAGCCTAACACGTTTTGTAAGTTGATTGTAATTCTATTTACAGAGATGCCAATTTGTTCCTCTTTGTAAAATAGTATTTTCTAGTGGTAGCATAATTTAAGTTACTTTTACTTTAGAATTTTTCATTTTAAGTAATTGTTTCACCACTAAATATCAAAAATTATAAGTAACATATGAAATGCAACGTCAAAGCATCAATGAACTGGTTATTCTCTTAAAAAAAAAGGCGTAACTATCCTTCTTTACCGGATTTTATTACATAATTTGCTACCACTTTATTAGAACTATTCCAGAAAGAGGAGCTGTTGACATCCCTGTATTTATAATATGTTATTTATTTTATTGTATAACCAGCGTTGAACAGCTGACCCAATTCTAAGTTTAATACTATGTTGAACTGCATAGCCTTGTAATTTTGAACTCAGCCCAGAGGATAAAGAATCTCCAGGATCAAGCATTGGGACAAGTTTCGTATAGGACTTTTTTGATTCAACTGACTCGCATTTACGTTACATGAAGAAGAAAAACACGAAGGTTAGACCGATGGCAAGAGGATTCCAACCCATGATACGTTTATCACTAATTTTTTACTTCACTATGGTCGATGCGAGCCGGAAGTAGAATTCGTCTCACCCAGCTACCTGTGGGATTCGAACCTTGGCCACCTCATTGGGAGGCGATAGTATCTCCTGAGCCAACGTGGCTCTATTTACAATGCTTGTAAGATCTCCAAACATATTGTCATGTAACACGTAAATAAGAAAATCCGAACATCAGTTTAGCAACACGCATACATACTTCACACCAGGGTGTACCATTCAATGTCATCACCTCAAAGAAATGGACTGGCTTAACGAAAAGGTTAATTAATTTACGAAAAATCTCTGCTGATTTTTCGCTTCCTCTAAATTTAAAAACAGCCTTTTTTCCTTTCCTTTTTTTAGCGAATTTCATTCTTTTAACGCGGTTTTTAACCATGAAATAATTTCGTGCTCTTGATACCTTTTATTATCTCTTTGAATTTGTTGGTCACATTTTTGAAGTATATTTAAAGTTTTACTTCACTAGTAAAAATTTTACCTCATAAATTTGAATTTCCAGTTATTATTCAATTTTTTTTTACTTCCGCTTCGTAATTGTTCCAATAACAATGGCATTTCAATATTTATGTAAAACGAAGTCAGTTTCTTTCCCTAAGATAATTGAATATTACTGCACAAACAATATTTTCACTTTGATCTAAAGGTCATTTTTTTAGTCTGTGTCGACATAGGAAATAACGGTTTTCAGCTGTTGTGAGTTTTGCAGCAATTATTCACAATTTTTAGGCTAAGTTTTGACTATTTTAATCACTTTTTGATTAAGTTTTGACTACTTTAAGAACTTATTAAGTTTTGGCTATCTTAAGAATTTTTTGAGTAAATAGTTTATTGATTATAAGGATTTTTTTTTCACTTTCTATATGCTAATTACAAAATTGTCGCAGAGTGTCACGATGAAAAGAAGCCACAATTTTCTAAAAATAAAAAGCGTTTTTTTTTTCTCTTTCCAATTTTTTATATTTGAAAAAAATCTCTCTCTTGCGAATAAAAAATTACAAAAATTGAGAATTATTTATTGATTACAATGATTTTTCTCTAATGAAAAAACTTCGGCAAAATTGGACATTTTTAACATAAATTTAATATATTAAAGTAGATATAATTGCTCGTTACCTTACTGCATTGAAAGAGGCATTTCTTGCCCTTGAGTTGGCTGCAAGGCAAATGGGCTTGGTCATAAATGTAGATAAAACAAAATATATGTTATTCTCAAGAAACAGAGTCCCAGACCCCTATCTTGAAATAAATTCTTATAAATTGTAAATTGTATCGCAATTTTTGAGAGAAAGATTTTGTGGGGTATACTTGGTGGTGTAAATGAAAACAATAACTGGAGAAGGAGATTTAACTTTGTACAAGATTTATTAACAACCTGATATTATTAAATACATAAAAATAAATAGAATGAATTGGATCGCCCACGTGATTCGAATGAGCGGCGAGACCACAATAAAAAAGATACTGCTTTTAAGACCCACTGGAAAAAGAAAGCGGGGAAGACCGGGGTTGAGATGGGTTGACTCAGTGGAGTCTGATTTTCTTGCAATTAATGAAAAAAATTGGGGATCAAAGATAAATCGGAAGTCGTCTTGGAGAAATCTTCAGAGGAAGGCATTGGCTCTCATTGGGCTGTCTGGCCAACTATGATGTTTAATATCTTAAAAAAATTATAAACTTTTTGTCCGGTCTAAAACCTAAGTAATTCTTTTCTGCGAGATGGTGTGTATTTAGTTTAGAATTATAGCTTTCTTTCGAGTGTGAGGCAATTAAAATGCATCTTCTTTATTTTCTTCGACAAAAGCTTCAAAAAATATTATTTATAATGATACACTTTCTGTTTTTTTAGTATTTATTTGATTTAATTATTCGCTTCTAGGTTCATGGATTCATCTAAGGTTAAACATCCACAATATACATATTTACCATTTGGCGAGGGCCCACGGAATTGTTTGGGAATGAGATTTGCTTTGTTGGAGATCAAGTTATGCATGGCTAATATATTACATCATTACAGATTTAAAACTCATTCAACAACAAAAGTAAGAATTTTGTACGTTATAGGTAGCCCAAATCATGCTTTTTTTTTGGTATTGTTTTTTTTAGGTAATGTGTAAGACAAATTAATAAAAAAAACTACTTTTTATTTACCAGCATGTGTATGGATAATTTTTTGTACAGACCACTTTATGTTTCCTGTTATTGATGAGTTAATAATAAATATTGGATAAGACATTTTCTTAAATAATTCAGAAGCTTAAACAGTGGGGCCACAAGTAGAAACGTCTTGAGGCAATTTATGTAGCAACGATAGCAGAATATCGATAGCAGAATCGTAGATATCGATAACAGAATATTTTAATATTAGATTTCATATTCTGTTTCAGTTGTATACTCCAAATAAGGAAATCTATTCCAAATCAGTGTCGTTTAAATAATTGTGTTTACTAAACAGTGGACGAAATGTTTAGTTAGAAGAAAATGATTATACAAGATAGAGGTAATGAGTTTGGGTACCAGTGGTCGGTAAAAAACTACCACTACTTTATTGCAATAGTAGTTAACTAAAATTACTTTTTTTTAAATATAGGGACTACAAACTACTCTCGAAATGTAGTCAACAAACTTAACTGGAGTACTTTGTTTTCACCAATATTCAAAGCATAATATTGAAAAGCATGAGGAGGTATTAAGAAGTTTTAATTCATGTTTTTATGAAATTATTTTTTATTCTAAAGCACTTTTTATGAATTTGCTCTTTTAGCTTCATGCTATGCTTTTTTAATCAGTATGGTTTTCTCTCCATGCTTTTCGCGTCAGTAATTTAAGAAATGCTAGGAAATTTTCAAATACTTGTGAATTAAGTGATCAATGCTTTTTTATATCCACCAAAAAATAAAGTACAGTGTGAAAAACAAAAAAAACAGACCATTCTGAATAGCATTCGCCAGTGATCCGATCTTCACGTTCTAGGACTCAAATCTTAATGGTTTAAGGGGATGACTGCAGAAATTTCAAAACTTTATTTTTACTAGACCCGCTTGCAATGTGTTAGATGGTGAAATCTTAATAGAATATTTTTTCTGAATGAATGAAATGAAATTTACTGAATAAAAACTAGAGATATCGCAAAACACAAAAATGTATTTATGTTTTTTTTCCAGGTGCCTTTGGAATACAAGAAATACTCTGTGTTCCTCAGTTTTACCGAACTACCTTTGGCTTTGGAGAAAATTAATCCAAGTGCGGATTCAACATTGTAAAATTGAGAATACACACTGCTTCATAGTTTCTCCTGTGAGAAGCGGGCATATTCAAGAAAATTTAAAAAATAACACTATACATACTTCTTTTTGTAAATATAACTCACTATAATCTTAATCTTTAGTATTAGAACTATTTTCTGTATAAAGGATGGTTTATGAAGGAAAAATAAGCAGTACAGAAAAAAAAAGATTTATTTCGTGTAAATAAAAGTGATAAATGAAGTTATTTAAAATGTTTGTGTTTAATTTTTTAAATAAAAAGAGAAAGAAAAAGAAATACAGATTATTGTTTCATTTTCAGTTTTTTGTAATACCATGTAGCAAGTTGTCTAACGTTTATTAACCCTTTGAGGCAAATTTATCGTGTTTTATCATACTTATTTAACTATTTTGTATTAGTTTAGGTCAAAATAATATAATTTACACGTTGCATACGCCAGTGCAGCGCCATCTGTAGTAAAGCAGACTCTCCTCACACATTCACTCTCGGGACCGCAACGGGGAGAAGATGATTATTTTGTGTTGTCTTGTATGGTTTCCTTAATAAAAGCTTTAAATGTAACTCCCCTAGAATACTTTGAAGCTAATCCTCGACATAACATATATATTTATCAATAAATGTTAAATATATTAATATTAAATAATAAGTTATTTAGCATTAAAATAATATATTTGTGATAGGCAGCATGGAACTCCAATGTCTTAAGAGTGAAATCTTCACAACACGATTCACTTCCAAACAATAATTTTTCAAATGTACAGTTATTTAGATCTAAGATAAACAGTTATTTATCATTAAAGTCTCTCTAATTTACAAAATCAATTGCTGATAAATTTTTGAATGAGAAGAGAAAAAACTTTTTTAGTTAATGGATTTATAAATTTAATTTATTATGATTTAAACTACCAATAGCAACTAAATCCATATTATTCATCAATAAACTGAGGGTAAGCCATACCAATTGCAGAGGTGCATATTTGCTCCGCTCTGTAAAATATCAAATTCTAGTAGTAGTGAAATTCTAGTAGTACTGAATTATCCTGCGACCATATACCAGTCATTGCCGTCCTAGGCACGCAACAAATGGAAAACTCCACTAGTGCAAAGAAAATAAACTGGAACCTCTTCTACAATATACTTACAGAACAGAGCGAATACCCCCCACCAAATAATGAGACTGGTGTAGAAAATAATATTACACAGCTAACTAATGAAATCCAAAATGCTTCAAATGATGCCACTACAGTTATGAAAGATGCTGATAATTATCAAAAGCTCCCAAGAGAAATTAAAGATAAGATTCATTATAAAAACTATGTAAGAAAACAATGGCAAAAGTATAGAAGTCCCGATGATAAAAGAGAACTTAATAAACTTATTAAGGAAATCAAGGAACTTTGTACTAACTATCGAAACAATAGCTGGCATGATAAAGTTGCGAACTTAATCATCACAGACCAGACTATCTGGAAAAGTCGTTTAAAGCTATCAAAGTTATAAGCAAACCTATTATTTTCAATAATAAAAATATATATAGTGACGATGATAAGATTAAAATATTTGCTGATATTATAGAGAAACAATTCTCATTAAATACGTTCCCCAGTAATAACAATGCTGATGAGAAGATCAACTCAATTTATGAAAATTACTTTATTAACAACAACAGCCACAATCCTATAGATAATGTTAATCAAGAGGAACTTAACAATATCATTAAAAAACTAAATAATATAAAATCACCAGGCGAAGATAATATTAATAATCAAATGATTAAACAACTACCTTTCAATAAATTCCATGATATCATTAACATCTTTAACGCTTGCCTCAACATGAATTATTTCCCCAGAAATTGGAAAAATGCTATTATCATCTTGTTTCCGAAACCGGGCGAAGATTCAAGACATCCGGAGAACTTCCGTCCTATCAGCCTGCTGCCCAATCTGGGAAAAATTCTAGAAAGAATTATTCTTACCAGACTTGAGCCATTACTAACCTTTCTACCGAAAGAACAATATGGATTTCGGAAACAACTATCCACCACTAAGCAGCTGATACGCTTAATTGATTTTATAAGCGACGGCATCTTCAAGAAACAGTCCTACAGTCCTGCTTACGCTAGACGTGGAAAAAGCTTTTGACCGCGTCTGGCATAAAGCTCTAATAACCAAACTTATCAACCACAATCTACCTTACAATATCATTAAAATTACAGACTCTTACCTCAGCAAATAAGACTTTTCAAATAAGACTGAATAATCAACTTTCTACTAAAAAGAATATACATGCGGGTGTACCGCAGGGAAGTATATTAGGCCTGATCCTGTTTTTCATCTATACGAATGATTTTCCCTCCTGCAATAACAAAATTAACCAAATGATAGCTTACTACGCCGACGACACGGCTATAGCAATTAGATCTCTAAATGCAAACCAAGCTGTTAAAAATATGAACAATATTATGCCAAACAAAGAGACTTGGTGTGCGGACAATATAATCCTGATTAATGCTGATCCTAAATCCTAATGCTGATCAGCAGAAAAAAGAAAAAGAATAAGAAAAGCATCAATAATAATGTTATTCTCTTTGATAAAATCATCCCTATAGTTAGCCAGGCAGACTACCAAGGCCTCACTATCAACAACAAACTAACTTGGAACCTACAAATAAAGAAAGTTATCAATAAGGCTCATGCTGCATATAGTTGCCTAAGACCAATTATTAACTCCTGTTCTCCACTACCCATAATCTCAAAAAACCCTTTACACAATGTGTATAAGGCCTATATTAACATATGCATGGGGATGTATAAATAAGACTCAACTAAAAAAGCTAGAAACAACCCAAAACAAGCTACTGAGGCGTATTGCAGGTGCCCCATACTATTTACCAAGTAATGCTATCAGAAATGATCTAAACTTAAATACCATCAGCGAGTATATTAGTAAACTAAGTATATCATTCTTCAGCAATGCCAAAAACCCAGATCCAGTAGGCTTTAATGAACTTTTGAATTAGGAACTACTTCCAGAAATGATGCAGCACAATCCTATTACTTTGTTTTTATTATCAGATTGCATCCTCTCAAAGCATTATAAGTAAATAACCCCCCCCCCCATTATTATTACAATGGATACCCCCAGAGCAGGGCTAAAGAGAATAGAAGGGCTGGTTCACTCCTTTGAAGTATCTCTTGCCGCGCCGATCCTCCGACGTCACTCTAGTGACGTCACTTTGGCGCAAAGCTCGCACTTTTACTTCAAGAACGGAGCGTTTGGTCTAACTAGCTCTAACTAATATTGGATCATTTCTTTTTGCGAGATATTCTAAGACATTTGTTATTTTCTATAATGACTTTCCTCAGTTTTTGCAGTGAATTTACAAGAATTTAAAACTATTATCGAAATGCCAGTTTGCGCGATTGCAACTTGCAAAAATTCTGATATAAAAACAAAAGGAAAAAGTATAATTTTTCGCGTGTTCCCTAAAGTAAATGAACAACTATGTAAAGAATGGATTCCGAAATGACACAGTTAATATAAAACCGCAATACGTTTATTCTGTCGTAAAGAACTTTTATAAAAATTCATTATCTAAATAGAAACCGCCTCGCTACTTCATAAAGAAAGGCAGGTGAAAAGAATTAAAAAATAGATAAAGTCAAAGAAAATTAAAATGTAAGTAAAAAGTATAAATAAAATATATAGTATATAGTTGAAATTCTCCTAATTTCATAACATATTTTTTAATGTAGTTATTCTAAATATTTATGATTTTTTTTAAAAATTATATTCTCTTCAATTTAAATATCTATATATTATATCATCGTAAATTTAAATGTCTATAAACAATTGTAAAATTTCTGATGTCATTATGAACCTAAATTATTATTTTGTTTCAGTAATTAGCGTTTAAGGTTGATGTTTCCTAATGATTAAGTATGAACAAATTGCTATTAACGACATATTTTAAAATCAGGGATTCTAAATTTAACTTAACTTATCTTTATAAAAGAATATGTAGATAAAAAAAGTGTCGATATATGCCTTCATTTTTCTTAATAGTTAAAGTTAAAACTGAACTTTTTAAAATAAAGTATTTATCGTGTCATTTTCACCAACTAGCAAAACATTTTTATAAGTTTAAAATGGTATTTTTTTAATATAATAACCAAGAAAGTTTTTTTTGAACTATGTTTATGAACGGAAATAATGTGTTAATTACGTAAAGTTTGAAGGCTAATAACCAGAAAAAGTCTAACTTATTTTTACAAGAGAAAGATGCAAAGTTATCATATCTTTGCTTGCGATCTCCGAGATCTGTAGACACAGTGACGTCATGAGGAGGGAAATCGTAGCTTCAGCTCTAAGAGCGGAGTGAACTAGCCCTTGTATTCTCTTTAGCCCTGCCCCCAGAGAGGTGAAAGGATCGCCGACATGTGATCGCCGACTCGGGAGTATCCACCCCTATATATTTACTTAACTTGTCCCACTTACTCAGTTTTCATTTTATATTGATTTATCATCTCAATTTTACTTAGCCAGACACAGAGTATAACCTTGCGTCTACCATGGCTTCTGCTACTTCTTTAGTATTTCTTGCATAACGACAGTAACTTCTGCTTTCTCATTAGGGAGAAAAACAGTAACGGTGGGACTATTGAGGGAGGGGGGCATACTTTGAAATGGCCGACGCTTGGTCTTAAGGGCCTTCCAAAATGCAGTGTGATCGTCATTTAAACTTACACAAAAATCAGTCCAGTATTCTTCTTGAAATTCCTTTATATCCGATTTGATCTCGTGTCATTGGTGAAAGCCCTTATATAGCAAGACGGAAAAGAGAAAAACCTGGTACGTATAACATTTCATTCCAGCATTTTTTTCGAAAAAAATGAAATACCTGTAACTATCAAGATTTCTTTTATAATTCTGGCATATATATAAAACTGCTTCTTTTCCAAGATAAAGTAGATATTGTTGAAAAATTTAAAAAAAGAATAAGTAAACTCCTCCCCAAAACTAGCTATAACT